TTTTTTCTTTTTGCTTATGTGATGCTGAGGAATCGAACCCAGGGCCTCTTGCATGCAAGGCAAGCGCTCTACCACTGAGCCACCTTCCCAGCCCCCAACTGATAATCTTAAATAGAAAGAAGTATGTATCATTATTATTCCCTGCCCATATGCAATATGGAGAAAAAAAAACCCTTCCCCACAAGCTTTTAGGACCAATAAGGATAGTTAAATAATAGTATGCAAGAATGAAAAAAATACTTGAATATTACAAAAGTAATATATATAATTTTACATATAGTATGATTAAAATGTAAAAAAAAAATAAGTATTGCTGGGTGCTAGTGGCTCACTGCCTATAATCCTAGCTATTCAGGAGGCTAAGATCTGAGGTTGGTGGTTTGAAGCCTGCGCTAGCCTTCATCAAAAGAGTTCAAGGACAGCACCCAGTCCTCCAGCTAAAGCCCGATGACTCAAGACTCATGACAGACAAAAAAAAAGTTTGCATGAGTGATTAGGTTAACTGTGGTCATTTTCAGCAGCATATATACTAAAATTGGAATGATACAGAGATTAGCATGGCCCCTGAGGAAGGATGACATGCAAATTTGTGTTGCATTTCATATTTTTTTCTTCCCCCATTGGTATAACTCCTGTTGTCACTGTATTTGATTCTGGTGCCCTGCATCTTGTATATACATTTGTCTAATTTGGGAAAGGGGAGGGAAATAACAAAACACTGAAACAAGGATTCAGGTTGAACCATTGTAACAATGAGATGTACAAGACACTATGTTGAAAATGAACTTTACAACTTGGGGGAGGAGGGGAAGAAGTGAGGAGTTGGAGAGGTGGATAGGGAAGAGACAGTAGGGGAAAAACAAAGGAAGGGATAACAATGCTTGCTAGAAAATGTACTCATTACCTTACTCATGTAATGGTAACCCCTCTGTACAGTATCTTTACAATAAAAAAAAGAGATGATTTTACTACTAAATTATTTCTATCTTCTTTTCTAAATTCCTTTTTTTCCTGTTCTTATTTACTTCATAAATGATGAGATGAACTGCTTGCCTCAGGTGATCAATTAGAACAAAATGTTAAGTTAATAACACAAAACCAACAGTAACAATAGAATTGCTTCCCCTTCTTATTTCCTCCACATCAATGTCTTTTAAAGCCAGCAAGTGATTTACAGGTAACCACCTTTCCTGAGACTGGGAGGATTTCAGAACAAAAGATTCTCTGATTTAATCAGAGAATCTAATTAAATTTAATCAGATTTAATTTAATCACTACCTGTTTTTTGTTAAGTTTCTAAAGTCTAATACTCATACAATGAAAAATGAAAACACAAAAAGCCAAAAATATTAAAATAGCACACAAGTGTGGGCTTACAGCAGAGTCAGTGGGCAGGTCTGTATCCCACTTGCGTCCTTTGAAGTCGCCACCTCTGTTCCATCGAAATGAGCTCATACAGCCTCCTTGAGAAAGCTCTGTACAACAAAGGTAAAACTTATAAAGCTAAACATGTATAAAGATAGCATTTTAAAAAAAGGGTAGGAAATTAATTGTAATTATTTGTAACATTAAAGTAATTGTTCATTCTTAAAAATGAATATTTATTTATATTGTTGGTTGTGAGGGCTGAACTCTGGGTCTGGGCGCTGTCCCTCAGCTCTTCAGCTCAAGGCTAGTGTCCTACCACTTGAGCCATAGCGCCACTTCAGCTTTTCTCTGCTTAGGTGGTACTGAGGAATCAAACCCAGGGCCTCATGCATGCGAGGCAAGCACTCTACCACTGAGCCACCTTCCCAGCCTAATTGTTCCTTTTTTAAGACAGGATCTCTCTAAACAATCTCTACTCCCATCTGCCCTTGAACTCAGGGCCTTGTGCTTGCTCAGCTTGCTAACACCTTCACCTGTGCTTTTTTCTGGTTAGTCTAGAAATGGAGTCTCATGGATTTTTCTCCCAGACTGGCTTTCAATCATGATCTTCCAGATTTTAGCCTCTTGACTAGCTAGGGTTATAGGCACAAGCCACCAGCACTTGGGTCAAGTCTCCAGGTACTGAGATTATAGGTGTGTACCTAGAACAAAGTATATTATCTTAAAAACACAATCAAAACACAAGACAGCTAAGAGCGCTAGCTCAAACTTTAATTACAGCTACTTAGAGGCAGAGATCAGGAAGATTATGCCAGGGGGGCAGAAACTTAGTGTGACTCCATCTCAACCATTAAGCCAGGTTTGGTAGTATACAACTGTCATACCAACTACAAGGGAAACAGACCATGAAGATCATAGTTCAAGGATGACCCAGGCAGGAGAACCTGCAAGAGAACCTATCTGAAAAACAAAATTAAAGCAAAGGACTGAAAAAAAGCAAGCAAGCAAGCTGAGTACTGGCATTGGTGGCTCATACCTGTAATTTTAGCTACTCAGAAGACTGAGATCTGAGGCTTACAGTGCAAATCCAGGTTGGGGGAAAATCTGGGAGATTCTTATCTCCAAATTAACCAGCAAAAAGACAATACAGGAGGTATAGCTCAAGTGACTGAGTACCAGCTTTGAAAGGAAAATGCCAAGCAAGAGAGTTAAGCCTTGAGTTCAAACCCTAGTACTGGCACACACGCACACACACAAGAATCACAAGAATATTAGGTGTAATAGTGATATTATGAGGTATAGCTGTATGATAGTATTTTTAAAGGCTTTGTCCTTTAGAGACATACAGGGAATTGTTACTGATGAATAGATAATGATGGGAGGAGGTAGACAGGGCTAGGAATATGGCCAGGGCAGCTCAGGGACTACAGGATGATGTTAGTACTGGATTTACACCCAAGAAGGTTGCGAACACTATTTTGTCGAGTTTTGTGCCTTTTTTTTGTTTTTTTGAGGATGGGGGTGGAGGATGGAGAGGGGGGTGGGGAAAGGAGTTGGTTTGGGGGCTTGAACTCAGTGCCTGAGGACTGTCTCTGAGCTTTTTCGCCCAAGGCCAGTGCTCTGCCATTTTAAGCCACAGCTCTACTTCCAGTTTTCTGGTGGTTAATTAGACACTTCTAGCCCTGGATGACTTCCAACTGTGATCCTCAGATCTCAGCATCCTGAGTAGCTAAGATTACAGGAGTGAGCCTCCAGTGCTTGGCTTGTGCATGGTTTGAAATTCTATGTGACAAGTTTTTAGAAAGTCATGAAAAATATTTATTTCTGAATACCAATCGAAACCTAGGAGGTAAAGGGAGAGAACTTAACATTTTCAAATTGAAGATGTATAAAAATGCATACTGAGATACTATTTTTAAAACTTGCTTGAGAACATTTTATGAAGGTAGAAAGAATTCTAACAATGCATTGTGAGAGGAAAAGAGAGGGTATAAGTGTCAGAGGCTGAACTTCTGATTCAGGTTAGTCTCCTTAGAAGACCCACATCTCCACCCAAACCATAATAAAATAGAAATATAAACAAGTAGCATACTAAACAGGAATAATAGAAATTGAAAGAATCAGATTATCATACTGATATTATTATACCAAGAACAGGTGACTCCTATTCTTGGTAGTCTAAGCAGAAAATAAAATATTCACCTGAATCTGTTTAGCTCACATATAAGTTTCCTACACTGAACAAAATTACTAATTTTAATACAGTCAAAGCTGTTTGTATTTGTTTTGTGGTGTCTGTACTGGGCTTGATCAAGGGGTCCTGAGCTCATGTTCCTAGGAAGTTTTTTTCACTCATGGCTGGTACTCTACCATTTGAGTCACATTTCTACTTCTGGCTGTTTTGCTGGTTAGCTGGGAGATAAGATTCTCTCTGATTTGTCTATCCAGACTAGCATCAAATCCACAATTTCAGATCTCTGTCTCTTGAGTAGCTAGAATTCTAGGTGTGAGCTACCAGTGCCCATTTTTTGTTTTTTGAAATAAGATTTTGTCACATGTATGGTGTATATGTGTACATTGTTATAGGTTATAGACTGTGATAGACAATTTGCTCCAGGAAAGTTAGAATTATTCCACAATACTGTGAAATTTGGGAAATTATGTAATCACTTAATCACAATAAAAAAAAAAAAGAGCCAGGTGCCAGTGGCTCACGCTTGTAATCCTAGCTACTTAGGAGGCTGAGATCTGAGGATCGCGGTTCAAAGCCAGCCCGGGCAGGAGAGACCTTGAGACTCCTATCTCCAATAAACTACCAGAAAACCGGAAGTGGCGCTGTAGCTCAAGTGGTAGAGCGCTCCCCTTGAGCTGAAGGGCTGAGGGACAGCGCCCAGGCCCAGAGTTAAAGCCCCACGGCCAACCAAAAAAAAAAAAAAAAAAAAAGAACCTTGGGGAAGGTAGGGAGGGAAGGGATGGTAGGGGGAAAACAATGGAGGGGGTAACAATGCTCAATAGGAAGTGTACTCACTACCTTGCTCATGTAACTGTAACCCTCTGTATAGTATCTTTACAATAAAAAATTAAAATAAAAAGTCACAGGGAATAGTGGAAAAAAAAAAAAGAAATAAGATCTTGTTTTTGCCTGGACCAGTTTGGATGGCAATCCTATATATATTTCTTGCTGCAACTGGGATAACAGGTGTCTACTACCATACCCAGCCTTTTCTGTTGACATGGGGGTCATCTCACATTTTTTGCTTGGGCTATCCTTGAGCTGTGATCCTCCCAATCTCGGCTGTGTGATCAGTGGGCTATACCACGAGCTATAAGCACTCAGCCTCTAGGGATTTTCTTTGGATAGTGCAAACAGAGGATCTAAAAATTTGTTCAAGTAGAACCTTAAATCCTATATATTTACAAAATATATAATCATAATTAAATCAGTATTTTTATAAGATTTTTATTTGTGCTAGGCAAGTACTTGAACCAATTCTAATCCCTCCCCCCCCAGTTTCGCTTGTCATTTTTTTTCATTTGTAAAATCCCAATGTCATGAAAAAGCTTTTCCTTTCCCCCCTGCAGACAGTTACCTTTGATCCTTTCAAACAAATATTCCTGATTTGGTGTTAAATCTAGATATTGCACAATCGTATTCAGAGTGGGAATGAGAGGGGCTTTGACCAGGGCAGCTTGCTTCAAGCTAGTAATACTAGCTTCTGTTAAAATAAAACACAGAGAACACAGATTATTCTTCATGAAGGTCTCTAAAACAATCTAAAATGCTCTTTTTCATGTGTTCAAATAGCTGGCTCCTCACTGCCCTTTGGGTCTTTACACAACCAGCAAGACCCTCCCACCCAGACACTTCTAGTCAGAGTTCAACCTTCTCCTGTACACGAGTTATAGAATCCCTCTGCATTTTCCTCAGCACTAACCGCTTGCTTCCCCTTTACTCTCTTAACTATGAGACTGTAGTTCAATGAAAGCAAGGATTGGGCCATTCTCCTGTAAATCTTTTCACCAATGCCTAGAATTGAATCAGTACATGGTAAGTACACAACAGTTGTTGAAAGAGTAAATAAAAGCCATAACAGTTTATCTTAATTTCATTATCTACTTCACCTTAGTTTATTATTTCAGTCAGATTTACTTACATACACACTTTTAAAAAGCAATGAAATCCATGTTGGCAAATCAACAACTAAAATACAAGGTTTTTATGCTACCTGTATAAAAAGATACACTAAACAGGTTTCAAAATAACTTTAGTTACAAGTTGCCCATTATGTCAGGATAAGAGGATTTATGACAGCCTTGAAATCACAAGGCCTAGGATCACAGGTCTGTGCCCCTGAACTATACCCAGTGTAGAAAAAATATTTTCAGAGCTAGGGACTGGTTGGCTCATGCCTGTAATCCTAGCTACTCAGGAAGCTGAGATCTAAGGATCATGGTTTGAAGCCAACCAGGACAGGAAAATCCATGAGACTCTCATCTTCAATGAGAAAACTAGAAGTAGAGCTGTGGCTCAAAGTGCTAGCCTTGAGCATAAAAGCTCAGAGACAATGCCTGGCCCTGAGTTCAAGCCAGCCCTATAACCAGCAGACAATGACAACAACAAAAAGGTATTTTTACAAGTGATATAACAGCTAGAGTAAATAGTGCAAACCCATTGAAGGGAGTGTGCATTAAAAGCTTTAATACACGCACGCACGCACACACACGCACGCACGCACACACACGCACGCGCGCACACACACAGAGTTTTTAGTTGTGGGGCTTGAACTCTGGGCCCGGGAGCTGTCCCTTAGCTCTTCAGCTCAAGGCTAGCGCTCTACCACTTCTGGTTTTCTGGTGGTTAATTGGAGATAACAGTCTCACAGACTTTCTTGCCCGGGCTGGCTTTGAACCTCAATCCTCAGATGTTAGCCTCCTTAGTAGCTAGAATTACAGGCATGAGCCACTGGCACCCGGCAAAATATTTTTGTTTGTCAAGCAATTCTATAAGAAGTTATCCTAAGGAAATAATAATGTATACAGAAATGTAGATACTCAGACATTCATATTATTAGCAACAGAAAAAAAAAAAAAACCTCCTTAAACTCCAGGCAATAGAAATCTGTTTTATATATATATATATATATATATATATATATATATATATACACACACACACATACATATATATATATATATATATATGTGACAAATATAAAAAAAATACAATCTACCCATAAAAGTAATGCTGTAACTGGGTGCTAGTAGCTCATGCCTGTAATCCTAGCTGAGATCTGAGGATCATGGTTTGAAGCCAGCCTGGCAGGAAAGTCTGTGAGACTCTCCAATTAATCACCAAAAAGCTAGAAGCAGGGCTATGGCTCAAGTGATAAAGCTTCAGCCTTCAGCAAAAAGAAGCTCAGCAATAGCACCCAGGTCCTTAGTTTAAGCCCCAGAACCAGCAAAAATAAATAAATTAAATAAATAAAAAGTACATATAAATGTTATATGAAAAAAATCTCAAAAATACTAATTTTAAGTAAAAAAGGTCAGTAATAAAGGACAACAGACTGAATGGTATCATTTATCTGACATACACAAAACATGCCTACCTGTTTTGTGTATGATAAAAATCAGATTGGTATGACACAGGCTGGCAGTGAGAGACCTGCTGAAGGGCTTGAAGTTTCTTGTTTTGGGTGATGAAATGTTTTAGAATCAACAGTTGTACAAGCAACTCTGGGCTGTACACGTTAATAGCAAACTTTATGGTAGGTAATTTACAGTTCAAGCTGGTATATCTAAAACACACTAAGTATATTTTATTTAGTTTTCTTCTTTACCTGAAGATAACAAAGGAAGCTGTTAAACAGCCCAATAGAAGGAGATTCTTTCCACTTGGTGCTTTACTGAAAATCATCAAGCGCTGGGTTCTATGTCACATACCTCCTATCTGTAGCTCTGGACAGCCCATTCGTCTCATCTGGGTGCTGACAGACTCAATCTCTTGTACAAGTGGCACTAGTATTGTCTCATTGATCCACTAGGAAGAAAAGGAGGTATTCTGTATTCATAGTTCCAAAGCACTTCTCAAGTACTTTTACAAGTAACTCTAAGAACATTTTTTTACTCTTACATTTGAATATTAGTAGCATTGTAAAATATAGTAAAACAGAATAAAAATGGCAATCACCTGAAGTCTTGAGTTAAATAAATGTTATTAGAGTACAAATTAACTAAGCTATGTTTTAAAATTGTATGCTTGCTGGGCACCAGTGGCTCACACCTGTAATACTAGCTACTCAGGAAAACTGAAATCTGAGGATCCTGGTTTAAAGCCAGCTGGGCAGGAAAGTCTGTGAAATTCTTTTTTTTTTTTTTTTTTTGGGGGGGGGGTCCGGTCATGGGCCTAAACTCTGGGCCTGGGCACTGTCCCTCAGCTCTTCAGCTCAAGGCTAGCGCTCTACCACTTGAGCCACAGCTCCACTTCCAGCTTTTTCCTTATGTGGTGCTGAGGAATCGAACCTAGGGCCTCAGGCATGCAAGGGAAGCACTCTACCACTGAGCCACCTTCCCAGCCCAAAAATATTGTCTTTTTTTTGGTCAATTGTGGGGCTTGAACTCTGGGCCTAAGCGCTGTCCCTGAGCTCTTCAGCTCAAGGTGAGCTCTCTACCACTTGAACTAGAGTGCCACTTCCAAGTCCGTGAAATTCTTATGTCCAATTAACCACCACAAAACCAGAAGTAGCATTGTGGCTCAAGTGGAAGAGTGCTCACCTTGAGCTGAAGTGTTCAGGGACAGCACCCAGGCCCAGAGTTCAAGTCCCATCACCAACCAAAAATAAATAAATAAGGGCTGGGATGGTGGCTCAGTGGTAGAACACTTGCCTTGCATGCATGAGGCCCTGGGTTCGATTCCTCAACACCACATAAGCAAAAAGAAAAAAGCCGGAAGTGGCACTGTGGCTCAAGTGGTAGAGTGCTAGCCTTGAGGTGAAGAGCTGAGGGACAGCACCCAGGCCCAGAGTTCAGGCCCCATGACTGGACCCCCCCCCAAAAATAAAAATAAATAAATAAAATTATATGATTGATTTTTTTCTAAATACTAAACTTTCAGATAATATTAAATTGTTTTCTATAATTATTATTCTTAGATAAAAGATAATTTTGTTTTATTTATAGGGTAATTATACACATTTATTAACATAGTTTCTATCGGTTTGTAATTATGCTTCTTAGGTGGCTGAGATCTGAGGTTAGAGTCATTAAAAAGCAAAATAGTTTCAATTAAAATATATGTGTGTAGCCAGATGCCAGAGGCTCACACCTGTAATCCTAGCTATTCAGGAGGCTGAGATCTGAGGATTACGGTTCAAAGCCAGCCCGGGCAGGAAAGTCCGTTAGACTCTTATCTCCAACTAACCACCAGAAAACCAGAAGTGGCACTGTGGCTGAAGAGGTAGAGTGCTCACTTTGAGGTGAAGAGCCGAGGGACAGTGCCCAGGCCCAGAGTTCAAGCCCCATGACCGACTAAAAATAAAATAAAATGAAATAAAAGTGCACAAAGCCTCTTTGTTATTGTTTGTTGTTTTGTTTTGTGATGAAACCCAGGTTCTTGTACATGTTGTAAAAGCCCTCTACTGAGTTAGACTCAAGCTTCTGAATACTAGTTAAAAATACCCCAACAAATCCAAAGTACTCTATTTAAAAACACAGTATTCTAAGGAATTCAGATGAGGAACTGTGTTTGCAAGTAACTAATAGCAGTGACAAGTTTTTGTATTTTAAATACACATTAGAATTCTTAGATTCATTTATAATTGGAAGTAAAGCAGCATACAGCTTCAGGCTATTATCTCGTTCATTTAACATGTATTACATGCAACCTATTTGCCAGCTATGCTGGCTGTGACAAAACTAAGATATCCAGCAAAGTAATTATGACTCCTGAACCAAAATTCTGACTGAATAGTTCTAGAATTGGACTAAAACCTTTATTCCTGGGCTCAAGTAATCTTCCTGCTGTAGCTTTTTGAGTAGCTGGGACTACAGGTAAAATTTTTTTACTTTTAATTAAATTTTTTGGCTTTGAACTCAAGATCTTCTTGTCTTAGCCTCTTGAGTACTACAATTACAGGTATGTGCCATTATACCTGGCCAGTTACCTTTCCCTTTCAATATCTTATTAAAATTATAGTAAGTAGCCAGGTGTTGGTGGGTAGCTCACATCTGTAATCCTAGCTACTCAGGAGGCTGAGATTTGAAGATAGAGGTTCAAAATCAGACCAGGTAGAAAAAAGTCTGTGAGACTCTTCTCTCCAATAAACTATCCTCCCAAAAGTTGGAAATGAAGCTCTGGCTTCATTTTTTTTGTCTGGAGCAAAAGAAGCCCAGGGACAGTGCCCAGGCCCTTAGTTTAAGCCCCAGGACCAGTACCCCAAAAGTAAATAAATAAAATTATAATAAGTGAAGACAATGTAGCTCTAATTTCATTCAAAATGGACAAATGGGGTTGGAGGATAAAGCAGTAGAAACAGCAATAACCACAATTAGTGGAGGAAGAAGCCAATATGCCTGTAGAGTCTGGGACATATGGGTGCTACAGGGAGTAGAGAACAGGCAGGATTGAAAACATGGGCACGAGCCACCTTTCTGTGACCTCCAGGTCAAAGGTAAGTAAAGTAAAATTGGCTCTGATTGAGGATGGGCACAGAGGGAGAGGAAGGCTAAGAAAGAAGGGAAAGGAGGATAAATACATTTAATTGCACGTATGAAAACAGAACTAGAAAACCTGTTAACATTGTTTTAAGAAGAGGAGAGTGACAGAGATGGTACAACTTATAATATGGTAATAAAAACAAAAACAGAAACAAAAAAAAAGGTTTGTTAGGGCCAGGACCCCTGTTTGTTTCTTTTATAATTTTTGTTACATAACAGATTCTGACAGAAAAGCTCTTTGGAAAATAAAATTGAAAAATTGGGGAAGGGAAGAAGATTTGAATAATTCTTCTCTAAATGCACTTGTTTAGTAAACATGTAAGGAATAAACAATTCCATGAAAATGGACATATATACTATCTAACCAACCAACAACTCCAAGTAACAGTTGAATAATATATTTTTCATATTATGAGGCACTAAGATTGTCCAGAACAATGGCACCCACTTACATTTCTAAACTTAGCTGTCCATGAATCCATGTGATCAAGAAGTTGTCTATTCATAGTCACTCTTGCCCAAACCTATTAAAAATATATGTTTTTAAATGAAGAGTGAGAAAAATCTGCATAGAAATCATCATTCTTCCCACATCCTCAGAAATATTTGATGAAGTTGGAAAAAAAAAGTTCAAAAAACAGTCTTATTACCCACTTAGTATTCATACATGGACACATCTTTTAAAAAGTTTCTTGCATCTAAAGGTTTAATGATTGTTTTTCGTTTTTAAAACAAATTAAAATTCCGTATTTAGTATTAAACTAGCAAAGCTACATATTACCAAATATTTTATTCCAAATATATTTTAAAGACAAATCTGTTTATACAAGTATTATTTGATACTTAGAAACCTTCCTATGAATGTAGAAAAATATTTTAGGAAGGGCACTAATATTAAATTATGTATCATAAAGAAAATATATGATACAGTATATTTAGGTGCCCAAAATTAAGTCAGAAGCCTTTCCACTGTCAATCATATCAGATTGGTATTTCTATCCAGTACACATGGATATTATAGAAAAAAATATTCCAAGGGTAGACTACTTTCTAGCAAACTGAAAATTACCAATATTATTTCTAAAATTATTTTCCATTTACCTCTTCTGCAGCTTGTTTAGAACTGAGATCTGCTTCATCTTTGTTAGCAGATGGGGCCTGAGACCTACAGGCAAGCTGATACTGAAACTTCTTCAAAGTTTGTGCATAATCCCCCACAGAACGACTGTAGTTCCAGAAAGTTGGGCTGGTAGATGGAGATGTAGAATCTGGGCTCCCTACAATTATGAAATAAACAGTTTTAGTCTGCAGTAGTAAGTTTTGCAACTAGCAGTAACCCATAGACACTGGGTTTCCTAGGGCTGAGACAGCATCATTCAAGGAATCAGAAGATATCCCTCACCATCTGCCTCCTCTCCAACATTATCTTCTCTTTAGCAAGAGCATAGATTCCTTATGTGAAAAATTTAGAAGACTTTTATAGTAGTATGAATTAAAGAGTCCTAAAATGGTTAAATGTATCTGTTTATTTTTGTGATAAAATTAAGTTGGTTCATTCCCTAAGACTTTTAAATGATTCAGTGAGAAACAAATACATTTCTTCTGGAACTAAGTAGGCTAAGCAAGTTGCCTGCCTGAATTTTCAGAGGCTCCTGCTGAATGGAATAAATATAATCTCCTGTTAATTGACTTCTTGCTGGGCTATGGGCTGCAGTAATGTGTTTTGTTTACTAGCCTGTAGTAAATCCTGTTGATTAAAAAGCTATCTGCACTTTACACTTCTAAATTTATAGTTACTTTTAGGAAACACAAAATTGACATTTAGGAATCTACTTCTATGAAAATCTCTACCAGGATACTTACCACACTTGAGATTATAGTTTATCTGGAATAAATTCATTAATAACAGCTTTTATATAAAATGGAAATAAAATTACAATTTTACTTGAAAAAAAAAGATTATACTTTGTCTCACTTCCCAAAGAGAATCTGAGTTCCTTGGGGATAAGGGATTATTTTTCCTACTAGCATATAGTACAATGCCTGAATATTAAATAAGGAATAAAAATTATACTTATGAAGGGTATTTTTTTTCAGAGTTTAACAGATATCAGAAATATTAACTGATTAAAAATCACAAATAAAAACTAGTTCTTTGTCAGTTTTGGAGCCTGAACTCTGGGCCTGGGCGCTGTCCCTCAGCTCTTCAGCACAGGGCTAGCACTCTACCACTTGAGCCCCAAGCCACTTCCGGCTTTTTCTGCTTATGTGGTGCTGAAGAATGGAACCCAGGGCCTCATGAATGAAAGGCAAGCACTCTACCAATGAGCCACCTTCCCAGCCCCCAAACTAGTTCTTAAAAGGAATGACTATAGGGGTTGGGGAGATGGCTTAGTGGCAGAGTGCTTGCCTAGCACACATGAAGTCCTGGTTCAATTCTGCAGTACCACATAAACAGAAAAAGCCGGAAGTAGTACTGTGGCTCAAGTGGTAGAGTGCTAGCCTTGAGCATAAGAAGCTCAGGGATAGTGCCTAGGCCCTGAGTTCAAGCCCCAGGACTGGTAAAAAAAAGAAGAAGAAAAAAAAGGAATGACTATATATAAAACAATATAAATATTTTTTCAGAGAGATCTAAAAAAAACACAAAAACAAAAAAAACAAAAAACAAAGCTACAAGCCAAACCCAAAACCGACAGGAAGAAATAATAATTAGGAACCAGGCGCTGGTGGCTCACGCCTGTAATCCTAGCTACTCAGGAGGCTGAGATCTGAGGATCGTGGTTCAAAGCCAGCCTGGGCAGGAGAGACCGTGAGACTCCTATCCCCAGTAAACCACTAGAAAACCGGAAGTGGCGCTGTAGCTCAAGTGGTAGAGCGCTCGCCTTGAGCTGAAGAGCTGAGGGACAGCACCCAGGCCCAGAGTTCAAGCCCCACGACCGACAAAACAAAAAAAAAAAGAAGAAATGATTTCCTAGGCAAGGAATGGTGGCTCTCACCTATAATCCTAGGTACTTAGGAGGCTGAGATCAAGAAGAACATGGCTCAAGGCCAACTAGAGCAAACCGTTCAAAAGACTCCATTTCAACTCAATTAAAAACTGAGTGCTGGACATCCCAGCTATGTGGGAGAACACAAATAGGAAGACTGCCAACTAGGCCAACACGGTCAAAACAGTGAGACACTATTAGAAAAGTAACAAAAGTAAACAAGGAGCACTTGTTTCATAGAGACCCTGAGTTCAAACTCCAATACAACAATATATTAGGACTAAGAAGAAACACATTTCAACAAAATAAAGGCTCTGACAAACACATACCAATGTGACACTTAACTAGGAAAATCAGAAATCATTTCTTCTAAAGTCAAGAAAAAGACTCAATATAGTACTAGAATTTCTAGCCAGAGCAAGGAAATAAAAGGGATTCAAATAGGAAAGGGATCAAATTATGCCTATTTGCAGACGGTGTGGTCCTATATTTAAAGACTCTAAAGAGTCACCAAAAACTCTCCTAAATGTGATTAAAAAAAATTTCAGTACTGTAACAGGATATAAACAACACACAAAAATCAGTAGCTTTTCTATATGCCAACAATAAACAGGCTGAGAAATAAATCAGGAAAACAATTCCATTCCCAGTATCCTTAAAACAAGTAAAAACCCACCTACTAATAAACTTATCTAAGGACGTGAAGAAAACCTCTGCAATAAAAACAGTAAAACCTTAAAGAAACTGAAGGCACCAGAAGGTAGATAAACCCCTTATGTTTGTGGATTGGCAGAATTCATATAGTGACAATAGCTAAACCACTGAAAGCAACTTACAGGTTGCCAAAATCCCAGAAATTCTTTGCAGAAATAAAAATAATTAATCCTTTAAGTTTATATGGAAACATAAAGACTTTGAATACCAAAATCATTGGGGGGGGGAACACTGGAGTTATCATAATACCTGACTCCAAATTGTAATACAGAGCCATAATAACAAAAACAACTTGGTACTAGCACAAAAAGAAGATATGAAGCCCAATGGAACAGGAAGACCCAGAAATATACATATATAGCTACAGCCATCTGAATTTTGACAAGGGAGCCAAAAATATACATTGGAGAAAAGACAGTCTTCAGCCTTTTCAAATGGTGCTAGGAAAACAAGCAATTTACATACAATAAGACTGAACCTGGCTGGGCTGGGAATGTGGCTTAGTGGCAGAGTGTTTGCCTAGCTAGCATGCATGAAACCCTGGGTTCGAATGCTCAATACCACAAAACAGAAAAAGCCGGAAGTGGCACTGTGGCTCAAGTAGTAGCATGCTAGCCTTGAGCAAAAGAAGCTCAAAGACAGTGCTCAGACCCTGAGTTCAAGCCTCAGGACTGGCAAAAAAAAAAAAAAAAAGACCAAACCTGGATAGACTCCTATTTCTCCTATTATACAAAGACCAGTTCAAAACGCATCAGCGGGCTGGGAAGGTGGCTCAGTGGTAGAGCACTTGCCTTGCAGGCTCGAGGCCCTGGGTTCGATTCCTCAGCACCACATAAACAAAAAGAAAAAAGCCGGAAGTGGCGCTGTGGCTCAAGTGGTAGAGCACTAGTCTTGAGCTGAAGAGCTGAGGGACAGTGCCCAAGCCCAGAGTTCAGGCCCCGTGACCAGACCCCCCCCCAAAAAAATGCATCAGAGATCTTAGTGTAAGATCTGAAACTTTGAAATTACTACAGGAAAATATAAGGAAAACATTGTAAGATATATAGATATATGCAATTACTAGTAATTGTACAAGAAATCGTACAAAAAAATTAGACCAACAATTGACAAAAATGGGACTGCACCAAATTGAAAAGCCTCTGTATATCAAAAGAAACAAGTCTGGGGCTGGGAATGTGCCATGGGTTCAGTTCCTCAGTATTACATAAACAGAAAAGGCCAAAAGTGGAGCTGTGGCTCAAATGATAGAGTGCTAGCCTTGAGAAAAAGAAGCTCAAGGACTGAGCCTAGGCACTGAGTTCAAGCCCCAGGGCTGGCAAAAAACCAAAAACCAGAAGACAAAACCGAAAAACAGAATAAACAAGTATAGAATCAAATATACTAGACAGATTGGAAGAAAACTTTCACCAGCTATTCAATGTATAAAGGATTAATATAGAATATACAAAGAGCTAAAAAAATTAAACAGTAAAAAAACTAACTTAATTAAATAGACAAATCAATTGGACTATCAGTTCTCAGAAAAACTACAAATGGCTAATAAGTGCATGGAGCACTGTTCTACATCATTAGGCAGTAAGCAAATACAAATGAAAACTAAAATGAGATTCCATCTCATCCAAACCAATAACAACAAATATTGGCAAGGATATAGGAAAAAGGAATCATCATACATTGACAGTGGGAATGTAAACTGGTGCATTCTACATCTTTAGCCATAAAGGAAATACAAATGAAAACTAAAATGAGATTCCATCTCATCCTAAACCACTAACCACAAATGTTGTCAAGGATATAGGAAAAAGGAACCATCATACATTGACAGTGAGAATGTAAAGTTGGTGCAATCACCATGGAAAATGGTATAGAAGTTCATAAAAAAACAACAAAAAAATACAATAGATCTACCTTATGATGCTGCTATGCCACTTTTGGGCATATATTTGACAGAGTATAATCAACATATGAGAGTTACCTGCATACCTCTTATTGTAGTCCTCCCTGTTCACAATAACTAAGCTGTGGAATCAACCTATGTGCCCAAGAACTGATGTATCAATAAACTTGAAATGAGGTATGTACACACTATGGAGGAATGTGCATCCATAAGGAAGAATGAACTTTTATTACTTGTCAGAAAGTGAATGGAAGCTGGGCATTGGTGGCTCACATCTAGCTACTCAGGAGGCTGAGATCTGAGGATCACTGTCGCAAGCCAGCTCAGGCAGAAAAGTCCCTGTGAGACTCTTATCTCCAATTAACCACTCACAAATGGAAGTAGAGCTGTAGCTCAAAGTAGTAGAGTGCTAGCTTTAAGTAAAAAAGCTCAAGGACAGCGACCAGCCCCTGAGTTCAAGCCCCATAGCTGACAAAAAAAAAAAAAAAGGAAAATCATCATGTTGAGCAGGAAGCTGAGTGCAAAAAGTCAATTATCACTTTTTTTTTTTTTTTTGCTCCTGTGTAGAATCTAGATCTAAAGTGATAATGGAGATAGCTGGTACAGGCAGAGCACGCCTGTAATCCTAACTACTCAGGAGGCTGAGATCTGAGGATTGGGGTTCAAAGCTACCCCAGAAACAGACAACTAGAGATAAGGATTTGAGTTCAGGAAAGGTAGAGTCACATTATTTCCTTTCTTTCAGCAAAGGGCAACATTCTTTTTTTTTTTTTTTGTCGGTTGTGGGGCTTGAACTCTGGGCCTCGGCGCTGTCCCTGTGCTCTTCAGCTCAACACTAGCACTCTACTGCTTGAGCCACAGCGCCACTTCCAGTTTTCTAGTGGTTTATTGGAGATAAGAGTCTCACAGACTTTTCTGCCCAGGCTAGCTTTGAACCGTGATCCTCAGATCTCAGCCTCCTCAGTAGCTAGGATTACAGGCGTGAGCCACCCGCAAGCCACCGGCGCCCGGCATAGGGCAACATTCTTATAAGAGAGAAAAAAATGTATCTTTTTTTCTTTTTATTTTTCTTTTTTTGGTTGGTTGTGGGTATTGAACTCTGGACCTGGGCATTGTCCCTCAGCCCTTCAGCTCAAGACTAGCACTCTATCACTTGAGCCATAGCGCCATTTCCAGTTTTCTGGTCATTCCTGGCCAGGCTGGCTTTGAACTGTGATTCTCTAATCTCAGCCTCCTGAGTAGCTAGGATTAGAGACATGAGCCACTGGGCACCTGGCAAAAAAAACT